CATCTCCATTTGTGACTCCCAGAAGCCTCTGCTGTCCGTCAGGCGCTTCAGTCAATCGGCGAGCCGGTAATGTCCTCCAGTCATCGCAATTCTACATTAAGCACCGGCCCGGATTCAGCAGGATTTTCACATTGCCTCCAGGCAGGGCTGCAGCTTCTTGTTACACGGCTCGCAACTAAGTAACATCAGTTAACGCTTGGATGAATCACTCCCCGGGTGCGAAACGAAAGTCTCCCTTCCCTTGCTGAATTCTCTATAATGGAACGAGCTAATGGTGGCAGGATGCGAGAGATTTAAAGGGACATGCTCCCTCGAGTTTCTGACCCGCAGGCCGCGTAGAAGTCTCACTGCCCCCGCTGCATTGCTTTTACGTTAACCCCATAAGGACCCTTTTGCTGCCGAAGCCTTTCTTCATATTTTTTTTGCACACATGTTATAATCCACATTTTAGGCCTGAAAATGAATTCAAACCCCCAAAACATGATATATTTTCTGAAAGCCGAGACCCTGTAGAATAAAATGGCGGCAGTTGCAAATGTTTATATTGCACGACATTAGCGCAACTCTTTATCAAACCAAAAAAACTTGTGAAAAATGCACTTAGGGTAATTTTAGTGGCCCAAAACACAATAAAATAACCATGTTTTAAAATAAAATATAAAAGATGAGGTTACAACGAGTAAATAGATACCCAACATGCCCAGGTTAAAAATTGCGCGCGTCCGTGAAACGGCGACGAAATTCAGTACCCCCAAAAAGTCCATAGACAACGATTTAAAAGCCCCCCACATGTCATCAGTTTAGATATGTATAAATATTGGCCCTAGAATTATTGCTCTCACTCCGACGTGCGCGGCGATACCCAACATGTGTAGCGCAATCATCGTTTTCATACGTAGGCGCACCCCGACGCGTGTTTACGTGAATGTGCGCGCAGGGGCGGGGACTTTAAACACTTTTTAAAATTATTTTAACTTTATTTTATTTATTAATATTTTTTTAAACTGTCTCTTTTTTTTACTTTACTTTAATTGTTATCACATAGGGGGGCTAACAAGCCCCCCATGTGATAGAATATCGGTGGTGACAGGTACTCTGATGCTGGGGGTCCAGAGACCCCTACTGTCACCTTTACATTCTAAATAAGCTATTGGGGTGCAGATCGCTATTCAATAGCTTATTGCTGGGCCAGGGGCGTCCCGAGGCTGGGTGTCACCCGGGGGTCATCGTGCATGCGCGCTGGTCTTTTTGACACCATCTTGGTGATGGACGCCGGCAGGGGGAGGAGGGTTCTCGGTCCGTGATCGAGTGCCCGACTTTTCATAGGGGGTGACACCAAAATAACGGTCAGTCATTTTGGTGTCACCCCTCCAATGGTGTCACCCGGGTGCGTGCCGCACCCCCTTGTGACGCCACTGTGATGGGCTTCAGGAGCCCAGCAATGACAGCTATGGACAGGAAGTGATGTAATACACGTCGCTCCTGGTCCCATAGAACGGGGAGGGGATCATCTATCATAGGGTATGTAATGGAAACGGGAAGGTTTTATTTAGGAATGTCGCTATCCTGTTGATTAGGGGGGGAGGGGAGACCAATGAAAGCAAAATATAAGCAGATTAAACTTCAGCTTTAAGGAGCTGGGTGCAGCATAAGCACGTAGTTTACAAGGGTGTCAGGCGATGAGCGGTGATGAGAGGTATAATAATCGGTCATATATTTGGTGTTTCCAGCACCGGATCGCTTTAAATCCATTTATTTCCTGCAGACCGGATTAAACGCCAATCCCGCGTTCCGACGCTGAAAATAGGCCCACTGCCCCCTCCCCCGGCTGCGCTGTTTATACCTGCGATCCCTTTGATGTCATTCCAGTAAACATCAGCCGCAGCGGCAAGATGACAGTGAATGAGACGATTAGCAGCTCAGCTCTGCCTGAAAAAAATA